CATAGCTGGACTGAATTTGCATGGTCTCTTGGAGTTCCTTGGGCTAGGCCTGACAGCTAGCCGTAATAAGGTTTGATTGATATTGTACTGGTTTTGTTTTTAGCACCAGACTGATAATGCTGATACATGGAAGACAGTAAGCGAGGCCTCTGAAAGGAAGTTATCAAAAGTAGTATGGGACCTCAGTGATACCACTCAATCCCAACACTGCAAGCTTAAGCCAGATTGCTCTTACATTTTACTTTGAAGACTTGGGCGGGGGGGGGGGGGGGGAGAAACATAAAACCCCAAATCTCCTGCTCTGCCCAGGCAGCTTTCTTTCAGCCCCCAGAGCCCACTCCACTCCTGAATGCTGAAAACCGATGTCACTTTTCTGCCACGTTAACAAAAACTGGAGTCCATAATAAGTATAAGGGGGCTTTAAAAAGCAAAGAAAATACTCCCGCGAAGCCATCTTGTTCCCACCCACAGAAGCCCTGCCTTTTCCCCAAACTAGCCGAGGGGCTGCCCGCAACCCAGAGAAAAAACCATGCAACTGCTTGCATAGTTTTGCGTCCCTGTTAAAAGCCCAGTGAGGGGGGCAGGCTGCATGAGGGCCTTAGACTAAGCAAATGCAGCATATGAGTGGGGGTGTGGGGGGGGAATGATGTTGTAATAAATCTGTGCCCAGGCAGGTGGCAGCGGCCAGAAGACTTCGGCAGATCTTGGAAAGCTAGGCAGAGTTGGACCTGGTTAGTGGTTGGATGGGAGACCAGAAGAAATCCCACGGCTCCAGGCTAGACTGGGAAAAGAATCTGGAAAATCGCGTCCGTACAGCTGCCAACGAGGCTTCGCGGATGTGTCCCTCAGAAGTCTAGGTTAGTCTGAGGGGATTTTTACCTCACAGAGGAAATTGTGGCCAAACAGCAACTTGGGATGAGAGCAGGCAGCTTATTCTTCCCTGCCTCGTCCCCCCGGTGCTTACTTATGGAAGAGGTGGCCGCAAGGGAGCTTCCGGGCGGCCTGCATGGAATCCCAGCAAATGGCGCAGTCATCATTGTTGGCCGCCAGTTCTTCAGGAGTTGCCACCGCAAACCTAGGAAAAGCAAAGAGGGGTGGCACGCCAGGGTGAGCAGGAGCCATCGGCTGAGGAGCGTACAACTAAGTGAATTACAGTGGGCAAATCGTGCTCGTTATTTTGCAATTATGGGTGAGGTCATCCCCCTCCCCCCAAAACAGCAAGCGTGAGATGCACGTGGCCCTAGGTTGGGGGCTCCAGTTTCTCGCTCCCGAAGGAACTTTCTCACCTTGCTTCCATGTTTCCAACCACCCGCAGGTAGTTCTTATGGCGCCTAAGTCGGCGCTGAACCTCGTGGAACAGGTAGCGCAGCTGCATAAAGATCACCAGGCTGGCCATCGACAACCAAATGTTGCCAAACAGCTTCCAAATATATTTTTTTCCAAGAAGAGCATGAAAGCAAATCACCGTTGCAAGAGAAAGGACACAAATAAAGAAAAGAGAATAATTTGCCAATGCCCAGCAAAATCTTCTTCAAAAAAGTGATCATTTTATTCAGTACACGGTTCTCTCTTGGAAGCTCCAACAACTTTCAGGAAAGCTTTTTTTCCCCCTTTCTGGCCTTGCCAGAAATAAACATCTCAGGGATTCTCTTTCAGATAATTGTTTAGTGGAAACTTCCCAGAAGAAAGCCCTTGCTCTTTTGCCCTGGCACAAGGCAAAATAGAGAAAGCCCTACTTATGTGCACAACATACCCACCAGCTGTTTGCAGCATTAAAAAAAAGAGAGAACTTTATACAAGGGCTATATAAATGCTTACCCCCTCCTACCACAGGGTTCTTGGAGAAGCAAGTGGGATATAAAGCCCTTGAGACAGTGAGAAACAATACTCTGGAGAGTTGTGAAGATAAATCAAGGAAAAAGGAAAATATGTATGCAGTTAAACCCTGAAACGTCTTTCAGCAGCATTCAGATCAGGGTTGGCAGCCTCTGGTCCTCCTGCTGCTGAACTCCTAGCAGCCCACAGTGAGGGATGCTGGGAACCGCAAGGTGCAAGTGGTCCACCTTGGGTTGAGTCAGAAAAGGAAAAGGGGAACATGGGTTCCCTATATTAAGACATCTGTCATGGACCTAGAATGTAGATATCATCTAACTGCTTACAATACTGAGAATCCACTGAACCAAAGCCAAATGTATATAGCCACTGCTGTTCCCCAGGAGAACGTGAGAAATGTTCCAGCACTTATAAATTACCACCTGAAGGCCATAACTTCATTTGCTCATACACTGAAGCATATGGTGGCCCATAAAGAGCAACGGACAGGCTGGGGACAGGGAGAGTAAAGGTCTTTTGGTAACATCTACAGTATAACAAAATTCAGTTTCAGGCAACAACATTAGCAGGAAAGATTTTAATCACTATTTATCTAGGCCCCCAGGGAGAAAAAAACCTTGGACATTTCTGTGTGATGTTACTCAAATGCATTTCAGTTTAACGTAGGTACACAAATCTCAGACAAACTCGCTAAGAACTACATTTATCTTTATCTAGAAAGTGCTGCCTTTGATACAGTCAATGTTTCTACTTCAACAACATTCCACTGCTGTAGAGACAAGCTGCAGCCCAATCAAGGTTGGTGGCTTGACTCTTCTGCAGTGGCCGTGCTGTAACCCAAAACAGCAGGCAAAGCTGAAGCTTCAAGCCTGGTTCTCTCCTCCCTACAGCCTTTCTTTGTGTTTTATACAAGTGGCTGCAATCCTAGACAATGACCCATTCTGCCTTTTTATGAAGGCCAGCTCTGCATCACGTCTGCCTGACGTAGGATTCACGAAACAATTCATTAAACATTTATACCAGCATATGAATGTGGTGCATCAAATCCAGCGACAGAAGCATTAACTCCATGATGAAATCAGTGTAATAAACATAGGTGCCTTTGCTCTCCCAGGTGCCTTCATGGTTGAGATCCCAGAGATGAATGATGTAACTAGGTGAAGGAAAGAGAAATCCTTCAATGACTCCCTCTGCCAGTTCTCCGTGGAACAGAGGAGTAACCCGTCTTACTCCTAAGAGATGCCAATATACATGCCTATATTAATCCCACAAGACATGATCCAGCCAGAAATTCGGGGGCCCATTTCCTCCCTTCTCCCCCCCCTCCCCCTTAGCCAAAGTGGGAATGCAAATCCCATATGCAGGGAGAAGACATAAGTTAGGAAAGTACGTCATGAGTGCCCTGATAGGAGGTGGAAAATGAACCTGGAGAAGATAGCATTGCCCACATGTGATGGCTATACTTCCATTCCTATTAAAGCAAGGGTAAAAGTGCTCTATGGGTAAAGTTGGGAATGGGTAAATCTTTATACCTTCCTAAATCAGACGTACTGCAAATATCTACCAGACAGTGCTGATCCCAGCTGCAGCAAACCCATCTATGAGCTAAATTTTACAAGGGTGCTAATCTACCATCAATGTCCCCTGCGTATTAGATCCATTTTCAACCGTTATGATCCCATTCACCCCGCTGGCTTTATCTCTAGAAAAGACTTAACCTGGATACTGAATAAGCCATTTCTTGGGTTTCCACAATACATTAAACCAGTGTTTTTCAACCTCAGCAATTTTAAGATGCATGGACTTCAACTCCCAGAATGCCCCAGCCAGCCATGCTGGCTGGGGAATTCTGGGAATTGAAGTCCACACATTTTTAAAGTTGTCAAGGTTGAGAAACACAGCATTAAACCATAAACTAGCCAACTGGACTGGCTTTTAACATACCACTCTCCAAAAACCTTTAAAAATGCAGTACTAATCAATCTTCACATATTACGTGCATGTAGCTGCTAGTTTTTTACGTACTGTATGAATGCAACAACGATGCCGCAATTGTAATATTTACTCATACATATTTTTGCAACAAGTTGTCTTTTACATTAAAAAAAAAATTGTACTGGTTGATGACTACAATAAAGACTATTCATTCATTAAAATGTTTTTATTACTCACAGAGACTTACAGATTTAGTTATAAGATTACATGTGAGCAGACCCTAAAGTCTTCCACCTCACTTGACTGTAACCCTTAATGTAAACCAGCCCTTCCCAACCCAGTGTCCTTCAAGTGTTTTGAGACTACAATTCCCAGAATTCCTAGTCACTGGCTAGCATGGCTGAAAATTCTGGTGCTTCAATTTCCCAACAGCTGGATGGCAGTTGATTGGGAAAGGCTGATGATCCAGTCTCCAGTCCAGGTCCTGCATCCAGATCCATTCTGCAGATATGACCAAACGTACAGTGTTTCCGAATGCCGTTAGTCATGTTTTTAATATATTTGTATTTGGATGACTCCCTTTTACATAGCAAAACTCACACTTTGTTGCATTTCTGGAAGGTACTGATAACTTTTGCAAACTCAAAAAGAGGAAAAGCAAAGCAAAATCAAACAACAAAAAAATGCACCCTCATCCAGTGGTTAAATGAAGGAAAATCTGACATTATAGTTGTGTCCTCTCCAACACATTTTGTTAACAAAACCCTATACAAGCTTTTCATACTGGTCTGAACTTGGATATCTTACTTACCGTAAAATCACATGCACAGTTCTTACGGTGACAAGCAGGGACTGTAGGGGACAAAAGAATTCACTGATCATTCTCTGAACCTTGAGCTCGTAGCAGAAAAATGAATAAATTGCTTTTCCAGTCCCACAAGTTATAATATTCTTTCTAGACTCCACAACTGCCTATGGCCAAGATCAGACAGAGATTAGCTACAGAAATCACATGACTCTCTGGGCAGAAGATACTGATCTTAGACTGATGGGACATTTGCAGGCTTTCATCTACACAAAAAAATGGTCAAAGTAGCTTAAAGTTTTGGAAGATACAAACTTTGGAGAGAATTTTATTAAACGGGTAAGATCAATTTACACCTTACAGAAAACACAAATAATTGTTAATGGAGAACTAACAAAACCCTGTGAGATACAAAAAGGAACAAGGCAAGGATGAGCATTGTCACTCCTCCTGTTTATTTTAGTTCCTGAAGTATTGAACAGAGATATAAGACAAGATGAGAGAATCGCGGGAGTAAGGATTAAAAGAGAGACTTATGAGCTAAGAGCATTTGCTAGTTCTGAAGGATCCGTTAAGGGAATAGAAATATTAGTGGGAAAATTAAAAGGATTTGGTATGTTAGCAGGTTTTAAGATTAATAATCAGAAAACAAAGATGTTTTTGGAGTTAGGTGCCTCTGGTATAGACTTTGCCAAACTATTTGCTTAACCATGGATTATAAATATCTAACATAGAATATAAATGGGGCAAACTTCCCTCATAAAAGGAAAAAATTAAAATCTGAAAAAATTAAAACAAGATATAATTGGCTTGCAAGAGACTCATATTAGAAATAAAGACACAAAATATTTAACTTGTAAAAATTTGGGAGAATTTATTTCGGCAGGGCCAAAAAAAACCTAATGGAGTTGTCTTATACGTGAGCCCCCATTTAAAACCACAATTGATATTGACAGATCAACATGGCAGATTCGTGGGGGTAGAAATTGAACTACAAGGACTTAAAACGTTTGTTTTGGGACTTTATGCTGCAAATGAAGATAAAGGAAATTTTTACAAATGACTTATGGAACAATTGATAAGCCTTGCATATGAGAATTGGTGTTTGATGGGAGATTGGAATGGTGTTGTTTTTTCAGTTAGACAGAACATCAGAAGAAAATTAAAAATACTCAAGGTAAATTACCAAAGATTGTTTTTTTATTTGATGGACAATTTAACTTTAGTGGATATATGGAGACCAAAAAATGGCAATTTTAGGGAACACTTATTTTTCTGAAAGACATAGATCCTTTTCAAGAACAGACATGATATGGATTTCAGAAAAATTGGCTACTAAGACAACTAAGGTTGAGATTTTACCAAAACATTTTTCTGATCACAATCCAGTGAGTGACTCTTAAAAGGAAATCTACTACCTTTAGATAGAGATTAAATGAAATGTTACTACAAAAAAAAGGATAGTGAAAGACTGTAAAAAGAAATTGATATAATTTTTTGAGAACAATTTAAACAAAGGCACAGATTTAGGAACAGTCTGGGATGCAAGTAAAGCTTTTATTAGAGGTTATTTTATTCAACATGATATTGAATTGAAAAAAAAGCACAAGTGAAAACACAGCCTATTTTGCAGGAGATTAAGAGAAAAGAGGAAGAATTAAACAAATTGCTGGCAAAGACAAATATTTCATATCAAATTAAACTTTTACAGCAACAGCTATTGATGCTGGCAGTAAAAGAAATGGAAACTAAAATGAATTACGGCAAACAAAAGAATTTTGAATTTGCAAATAAACCAGGGAAATGGTTAGCTTATAAATTAAGGAAGGAGAAAGAAAAGATGATGATTTTGAAGCTTCATGAGGGAGATACAGTTTTGACGGATAATGTGGCTATACAAAAAGCTTTTCATCAGTATTACTCTAATCTGTATAAAGGACAGGCTATTTCTCTGGAAAAAATAGATGATTCCTTAAAAATTCAAAATCTACAACAGCTTACTGATATACAAGGACAGACTATGAATGGGCCTGTAACAATAATGGAGCTTTTGGAAGCTATAATGTACTAATGACTAATTTCTTATTACTAAAATGTATAAACTTTGTTGAGATTTGAAACAGAAGATGAACAAGTTAAAGACTGTGTGATAAAATGGGCTAAAAAATTTAGACATAATATACAAATGGAACAGTGGGAAAATATCTGGAAGAAAGGGTTGAAATTTACATTATGTTATAATCTTGAAGAGAATTTATATAAAATGATGTATCAGTGGTATCTGTCACTGAATAGATTGTCAAAAATGCATATAGGGACTTCAAATATATATTGGAAATGTGAACAACAAGAAGGGACTTTTTATCATCTTC